ACCTTAATATGCATATTATGCTACGGTGGTTCTGTCTATCACCTTAATTTTCTAGATGGAGTATGGGGTTTACCTGGCTGCCCTGGCTTTTTTTTTCCAGAAGATGGATTCCCTTCTTGTTATCCCATTGATCCCTGTAGGGGATCTTTAATGTCCAGTAGATCCCTGTAAGGGATTTCCAATGTCTAGTAGCAATGCGAGTTTTGTCAGATATAGGCATATTCTCTCAAGGGAAGACAGCTCCCATTCCTGTCACTGCTCATTCTACCAAAGTAGTAGATGTATCCCAGGGGTGTAGAATTCCTATCGCCCGACGCCTGGGTAGTTTTTTTTATATCTACATTTTGCCCAGTTTCGGGCAAGCAGGGCTAAATGTACAGCGGGCCGCCACTCATTTTGTACAAGTGTGTAGTTCAGGATGGAGAGTGGGGAGCAGAGCAGAGAATGTCGGTTCTCTGGTCTGCTCTGTGTTAGCACTGAGACAGGAACGCTGTACTCGCAGCCTTCCCATCTCAGCTGTCACAGCAGTTCAAGCACAATGCTGTGCTCAAACTCATGTATTGGAGGTGACAGGTTTAATAAAAAGAACCTGTCTCCTCCAAATGCTATTACACAGGGGCTTACCTTTATTGCCATCACAGAGGAGCCAAGTGGGGTAAAAAATAAAATGAAAAATGAAAAAGAAATCATTAAAATAAAAAGGGATAAAGTAAAAAATAATCAAATAAAAAAAATAAAGTAAAAGATAAGAAATAGAAAAAAATCAGAAAAACCCCTAACCCTGCCGCCCCTGCCATCTGCATGTGAGTAAACGCATGCATAGGGCATTGTGTGTGCGTGCGCTGAGTGCCCCATTTCACTGTGTGCCATAATGTGGTAGCTGGGCAGCAGCGCTCTCCAACACGCACAATGTGCATTAAAGGGTAGGTTCACGTTTCATAGTAATTTGGCAGAATAGAATTACCTGCTCAAATCTGGCCCCCTCTCCGTCCTGTTCCCCGCTATATTTGCCTTTTTGCGAACAGTCTTTCCCTTCCACCGATACGGGTGTACTATCTGTACCCCATACTGCTGTCCAGTGCAGCACTGCGCCATGGATTTTGAATTTCACTTGCAAATTGCGAGCACTCAGTCAGCACGGTTACCTGACCACACTGACTAATGAGAAGCATTTCTTGGCATGGTTATCCTGAGTTTTTCAGCAGCAGACACCTGTCTCCCGGGTTCAAAGAATTTCACCTGATGGATGTCATTACATCGGGCTATGCCAATTTCTTTTTTACAATTTTTAGGAACTGTGCAGCATGAAACTTATGCAAGGTTTGCAGGGGTATAGCTACTAGGTGGAGCTGTGCCTTTGATTTCTAGTGTCCAACCTCCTAGAAGTCGGATGCTGTCTCCAATGACCTACTGAAGAAAAGTACTTTTACAGTTAGTACACAGTAATTTTAGACCACTTCAAGAAAGGACATGCAATATAATTTTGTCTTCACATATGAAAAGTACCATCTTGCAATATTTTCTGACCCTTCAATGTTTTATACTTGATCTGACAAACTGAAATACTTACCCTTGTGGAAAATGGCTATTTCAAATCGTATTATGACATAGTAGTTGCAGGTGTTAATGCTAAAAGATATTCTGTTTTGAGCACCTGTTTTCATCTACAGTGGTTATAAAATGTTTACACACCCCTGTAAAAAAAATGTCATGCTTTTGAGACTATATATATCAGACCAAGATAAATCACTTCAGAATAGTTTCACCTTTTATTGTGATCTATAATCTGTACAATTTTTAATTTTAAAAAAACAAACAAATGTGGGGAAAAAAAGAAATATAATGTGGCTGCATATGTGTGCACACCCTCTTTTATAATTAGCGATGTCCAGTGTTCAAAATTAACCAATCTCATTCAAACTGATATTAAATCGTATTCAGTACACACCTGACATTAAGCCCATTCAAAGTTCAGCTGTTCTAGTTAGATTTTTCTGACATTTAGGCTTCATTCACACTGCTAAGAGACGGCCTGTACAGATCCGTGCGGCGTGCACGACCATATCGGGAAGGACAGGTGCTGCGTGTGATTGTACACAGCAAAACAAACGACAAACGCACTCAACAATTTGTTACCAGTTATACAGTAAGGTGCACACGAAATGGGCTTTGAACAGTAGAAAGGCATCATGGCAACCTCTGTCATTGTCCTTAGTGGTGAGACAAGTTGTTTTACATGCTGGTTTGTGAGTGTGCCATGATGCCTTTCTACTGTGATCGTACACAGCAGCCCGTTCTTCTCTATGGGAGTATGCGGCCGTACGCTCACCCAAGCTGCACATTCGTGCAGGTGTCTGTGCTGGGGCACAAACACGATCCATCCTGTCTGCGTACGAGTACGGACACCCGCACGGATGTGCAGCTCTGGTGAAAGTACGGCCGCGTACTCCCATAGAGACAAACAGGCTGCTGCGTACAATCACACGCAGCACCTGTCCTTCCCAATATGGCCGGGCACAGATCTGTACGGGCCGGCTCTTAGCAGTGTGAATGAGGCCTTACTCTCTAACAGCAAAAGCTATGGTCTGCAAAGAGCTTACAAAGCATCAAAGAGATCTCATTGTTAGAAGTTATCCGTCAGGAGAAGGGTACAAAAAATGTTCAAGGCATTAGATATACCATGGAACACAGTGAAGATGGCCATCAACAAGTAGAGAAAATATGGCACAACAGTGACGTTACCAAGAACTGGATGTTCCTCTAAATTTTGGTGAAAAAAAAGAAAAGTGGAGGCTTCCAAGAGACCTACAGCAACATTTAAAGGAGCTGAAGGAACTTCTGGCAAGTACTGCTTGTGTACTACATGTGACCACAATCTCCCACATTGTTCATATGTCTGGGATGTGGGGTAGAGTGGCAAGACGGAAACCTTTTCTTACTAAGAAAATAATTCAAGCTTGGCTACGTTTTGCAGAAGCATGTGGGAAAATGTGTTCGTTTGATGAAACCAAGACTTTTGGCCATTAATTCACATTTGGTGCATAAACAACACTGCACATTACATAAGCAACATTATCAAAAGAACACCATACCAACAGTGAAGCATGGTGGTGGCAGCATTATGCGTTAGGGCTGTTTTTCTTCAGTTGGAACTGGGGCTTTTAATCAAGGTGGGGGAACTTCTAAACAGTTCCAAATATCAGTCAATTTTAGCACAAAACCTTTAGCCCACTGATAAAAATCTGAAGATGAAGAGGAATTTCACTTTTCGACATGGCAACAACACAAAGCATACCTCTAAATCCAGAAACTAATAACTTCACCAGAAGATAAAATATTTTAGGGATGTACCGATATATTGGCTGCTGAAACATATCGGCCGAAAGTGCAATTTTTTTGGCCGATACAGCGGCGCATCCCTGCTTTCTCTCCTCCCCGCTGGGCGCTGCTCTGTGCTCAGCTGGGAGGAGGGAAACTGTCACAGGTGGCAGAGCACTACAAGCAGCCTCCTGTCCCAGATCAGAGGAGAGCAGTGTGGACGGAGACAGCGCTGTCACAGAAGGCTGAGCTCCACTTGCTCAGCCTTCTGTGACAGCGTGACAGGAAGGAGAGCGAGGTACAAACACTCAGCAATCAGTGATGGCTGAATGTTTGTAAATAATTGAGGACAGAGTATGTTTACTATATCCTCAATTATGAATTAATAGGAAGTGATCTACATCACCTCCTGTTCATTCATAATTAAAAATTAATAAATAAAAATACATATTAAAATGTAAACGTTTATAAAAAATAAGAATAAAATATTTTAAAAATTTGAGAAAGTTAAAATAAAAAACATTTTTGGTTTCGGCCTGACGTTTTTTTTATTTCGGTTTCAAAATTTTCATTTCAGTGCACCTCTAAAATGTTTGGAATGGGCCAGCCAAACCCCGTACCTGAATCCATTTGAAAATCTGTGGGGTGATCTGAAGAGGGCTGTGCACGCGAGATGCCTTCCCAGTCTGACAGATTTGGAGCTCTTTTGCAAGGAAAAATGGGCAAAGATTCCCAAGGCAAAAATGTGCCATGCTGGTAGACTCCTACCCAAAAAACTGAATTCTGTCCTAAAATCAAAATGTGCTTCAACAACGTATTTGTTTAAGGGTGTGCATATATATGCAACAACGTTATTATAAGTTTGTATTTTTTTTCCCCATACAATATCAGCCAAATACACTGTCTAGTTTTACAGGTAGGTGACTAGAGGGAGAAAAGGCCCGCATATGTAAGCATGGACATTTGTGTAACTTTTGTTGCAACCACTTCACTTGGTGAGGGTGATCATAAATGATACTAGATATTTTAAGCAATTATTTCTCTCTGCAGAATGAAGATGATGTTACTTATACAGCACAGCGCCTAATGAATATTCTGAAGATATGTGCTGGATTGGTTCCTGGTATTTCTTCACTTTATATGGGTTCAGTGATGAAAAGTTTTTAACACAGTTAAAAAAAGCTAAAGGTATAAATTAACATGAATGACATTGTGTTGTTTGTATTAAGGCCCATTTTATATTTTGCACTAAATATATTGTCTTCTGCACTGTGGGTGAGTTAGAGTTGACAAGACAGAATATCGGCCAAGTGTTTTTGGAGCACTACAGTATTGGAGTGACTTCCCACCATGTCAGTAGTTTGTATGTCTTACTGATGTTTGTTTTTTATCAATCAAAATCATGCTAATAAAATCTGCCGCCAGTTAACTGGCCCAATGATTTTGCAGTAGCAAAGCCATCTTGTTACCATCTAGGGCAGCGGTTGGTCAACCTTTGCACTCCAGCTGTTCTAGGACTACGAATGCCATGAGACATTGTAAGACTCTGACAGCCACAGGTATGACTCCCAGAGGCATGATAGGATTTGTAGCTTCACCACAGCTGGAGTGCTGACTCTAACAGCAGTCACTTCAGCAGAAAACCAATAAAATTGTATTCACGTTAGGAAGTCAGAATAAGCAAAGTCTAGTTACTTTGCTAAATGCAGACTGAAACATATGTCTTTAAATTGAAGGGCAATGAGTACATGATAAAAATGTCTGCTTTTAACCTCTTGCCGTCTACACGCGCAAAAATTACAATTGCGCTACACATGTTACATATCGTGAGAGCAATAATTTTAGGGCCATCAATCACTGACATCACTAAACTGATGAGCGGTAACAGCTTTTAAAGCGTTGCCTATGGCCAATTTTGGGTATTATCGTTTTTTGAGGTTTCGCGCGCGCACGCAATTTTAAGGCTTGATATGTTTAGTGTCTTTTTACCCGACGTGACCCCATCTTTTATATTTTACCAAAAAATTGGGTAATAATAAATGTTTTATCATTTAATATAGGGGAAACTATTTTTTTTTTAATTTCTGTAATTTTTCCTTAATATAGTAAAAAAATAAAACCCCCAGTGGTGAATAAATACCACCAAAAGAAAGCTCTATCTGTCCCCAAAAAAGGGTATAAAATTCATTTCAGTACAGCGCTGCATGACGGAATAAATGTCAGTCAAAGTACCGCAGCGCTGAATACTGAAAAATGGCCTGGATGGGAAGGGGGTTTAACACCGCGGATGTCAACTGGTTAAATGCTTCTGTAATTTATGGCATACAATCCCCTTGAGTAACCTGAACATTTGACTCAGATGTATAATATCTGTAATATGTTGCTAAACAACTGTGTAAATCATACCTTGCTATAATTGTAATTTTAAATGCTGAAAAAGCACATACATGTATATCTCCATGTGAATAAAATGATTTGTTATGGGATGGAAAATTCTCCATTTGTTCAGGTTATTAACTCGAATTTTTATTGATCAAATACTAGCACAGCTCCATGTCCCTTCTGAAAACAAACCAGCTAAGGGTGCTGTAGCTACAGCTATGGGTGCTACACGGCTGTAACTCTTGCCCAAAGTAAAACCAGAAAATGTGTTAAGTCACAGAACCACTTGCATTAGACAAATACCGTATATACTCGAGTATAAGCCGTCCCGAATATAAGCCGAGGTACCTAATTTTTCCACAAAAAACTGGGGAAAAGTATTGACCCGAATATAAGCCGAGGTACCTAATTTTTCCACAAAAAACTGGGGAAAAGTATTGACCCGAATATAAGCCGAGGTACCTAATTTTTCCACAAAAAACTGGGGAAAAGTATTGACCCGAATATAAGCCGAGGTACCTAATTTTTCCACAAAAAACTGGGGAAAAGTATTGACCCGAATATAAGCCGAGGTACCTAATTTTTCCACAAAAAACTGGGGAAAAGTATTGACCCGAATATAAGCCGAGGTACCTAATTTTTCCACAAAAAACTGGGGAAAAGTATTGACCCGAATATAAGCCGAGGTACCTAATTTTTCCACAAAAAACTGGGGAAAAGTATTGACCCGAATATAAGCCGAGGTACCTAATTTTTCCACAAAAAACTGGGGAAAAGTATTGACCCGAATATAAGCCGAGGTACCTAATTTTTCCACAAAAAACTGGGGAAAAGTATTGACCCGAATATAAGCCGAGGTACCTAATTTTTCCACAAAAAACTGGGGAAAAGTATTGACCCGAATATAAGCCGAGGTACCTAATTTTTCCACAAAAAACTGGGGAAAAGTATTGACCCGAATATAAGCCGAGGCTCTGTAAGTGGAAAAGGGGGTACAGGGCTACATATCATGTACTACGGATCATTTAACCCATTCATATTAGCAGAGGATAATTGTAAATCTATTGTTCAGTGCATTCTATATGTAGTATATAGTACATGTACATATAGAGTGCCTGCAACAATACATTTACAGTGATCCTCTGCTAACATGAATGGGTTAAATGATCCGTAGTACATGATATGTAGCCCTGTACCCCCTTTTCCACTTACAGAGCCTCGGCTTATATTCGGGACGGCTTATACTCGAGTATATACGGTAAAACTTAGTTCCTCCATTAAGCATCTACCACCCTCTGAATCTAAGTTCCTCCCCTGACCTGTTTTGCTCCATGATTGGATTTAATTGTAGAGGCCTCTATTTTCTTTCATAGCCTGGAAAGCTTGTTTACATAAATCTATTTGAAAAATGCATTTGTATGGTTTATATCCTGGCAAACCTAAATGTTCATTGAAGGGCAGAGTGAAGACTGGAGATCTGGATCCCCTGGGTTATAGCGCCACTGCAGGAGTCGGACGCTGGGCACAAAAAAACAGCCTAGGGGTGGCCCCTGCTGGTTGCCAACTGCCACCTGCTGACATTAGCCTCTGTTTTTTGCCTAGTGACACGAGTTGGAACCTAAGAATCTCCGGTGGGGTTCTTTTCATTTTTATTTTTTATTTTTTATTTCTGGATGTTAAAGCAACTGCCAGCTGGGTGCCAAGCTGGATATGCATAAATCCTTGTTGTCCTCCCCAGAACAGACACCGGGTGCATGCAGATCCTCACCACAGCAGGATCAGCTGCAATAGCTCTTGGAGCAGTCAAAGAACATATGACCAGTGGTCTCAACCAGGCAATCGCAGTACCCCAGGCAGGCAGATGATGCCCTGGTTGCAGCCAGAGATGACCCACCATTCCATGAGAGGACCTTGATGACAGCCAGAAGAAGACGACTTGCTTGTGGAACTGTACGCCACTACATCCCACCACCCCCCTTATGTGGGCAGAGGGGTTATGTGGAGGCTAGGTCTAGTCCAGCTTGGGGAGGGGGCATCAAGGGCACAATACCAAGGAATAACTGATCCGGATAGCTGCACAATAAGCTCAGCAAGGTGTAGATGTCTTGACTGAAGAAAAAAACATCTTGAGAAAACAAAATACAATAAAATGATGAAATGGCTAATAAGAGGGGTTAAACTTTTCTCAAAAGAGAAAAGATGTCCTTCATCAGACACTAGCAAAGAAGTGCTGGGGGGGTTCTAATGGGCTGGCCAACCACTTTTATTTTGTCAATGTCCAAATCCTCCCATAGGTGGCAGTACAAAACAATCATATCTGTAATTTTCTAATCTAATCGGACTCAGCTGAAAATAACATACCGTATATACTCGAGTATAAGCCGTCCCGAATATAAGCCGAGGTACCTAATTTTACACAAAAAAAAATGGGAAAAAGTATTGACCCGAATATAAGCCGAGGGTGGGAACTGAGGCAGCTACTGGTAGATAGATACCAATAAAATTACATTAATATTTATTTAAAAGAAAAATAACCTAGCTCTGCAAGTGGAAAAGGGGGTACAGGGCTACATGACGCTCGGCGAGGTAAGTAAGATGACGCGCTGGCGCTGACTCGAGTATAAGCCGAGGGGGGCACTTTTCACCCAAAAGAATGGGCTGAAAATCTCGGCTTATACTCGAGTATATAAGGTACTTTTTTAAAAGAAAAATCCTTATCCTGGCTTAAGCTTTGTGAATTGAGCCTAATGTATGAAGAAAGACGGTCAGCATGACAGCCAGGTTAAT